AGATAAATTATTAATTAATTATTTGTTGCACATGAGCAATTCACATTTGTAGATTATGTACATTCATCATTACTGGTTTATACCGATATCAGTATACAATAATTTATATTTATTTTGCTTTTATTTTATTTTTGTTTTAGTGTGTTTTTCATGTTGCACGACCTTAATTTGCTGCAAGGAATTATTCAAGAAAAACAATGTGAAGAAAGAAACGAAATAATAGTTCAAATGCAAATGCTATAGACATGCTAAATTATGTACTACCAATTTTTTGAGCAGAATGTTATTTTGTGTTTATTATTATAGGTTTAACAGCAACGTGAGCCATGTCTTTCTTCTTTAAAGGAGCGGTTACAAGTATGTATGCCTTCATATCATGTGTTACTCCCATTCTTCCTCTTGTGCACACATTCTTTGATAAGACTGACCTAACCTGATGTTTGTAATAGGTTCTCCGGTTAAGACCAGGAGGCAGGAGGCAGAATATATTTGTCACAGGTACAGGAATGTAGACAAACAGCAGCAACATGCATTTATAAGCTTTTCCTGTAATTTCCTTTAAGTATATGTGTAGTGCTTGTCTGTGCATTCGTAAAAAAAAATGTGTGTGTACATTAATGCTGTTTCTCTCTTTCAGTCTTGACGTTTCCCATATCTCTGACTCCTCCTTTGAGTGTTTCTCCACCAATCCGCTGACAGGCTCTGTGTGTGTGTGCCGCCGAAGTCCCCGCCTACTAGCCAATGGTTATTATGTTCTGACAGAGGACAGTTTTACCACAGATGACGAGGGTAACGTCACCCTGACTCCCTCGCACACCAGCGTCTCATACAAAGAGAATCTTGTCCGGTGAGATTTATTACAGTGTTTGTTGTTGTTGTTGTGTGTGTGTGTGCATGAATATTTCATTCCAGCTGTGCTATACACTATACAGTAGCACCTGTAGCCACATTCTGTGTTGTGACTGTACTATATTCACAGTACATTGTAGGCATGCTAACTGCCTTAGGTGGCTAAAGAATGTTTACATTTAAAATTTTTAATTAAATAAATTTTTAGACCTTTTAAAACATCTATTTTAAGTTTATCTAAGTATTTTACATCTAATGTATATATTTTGCATTTTATTTATGTATGCCTTATGATAAAAAAAGAGTCTTACATGCTCTGAAATTTTGAACATACATAAATTTAAAACCATTTTCTAAGCCTAGCAAAACTTTTTTCTGTTGTTCTAACACAGTGGAGTTTATTCAGTGAATGGTACAAAAATGATTGTTTTTACTTTTTTTCAGGTGTTTTCTGAGCTGTTTTGTCATTGTGATATAACAACATATATTATTTTTAAATTAAGTGGTATTATAATTACTATAATATATTAAAAATAGGCTTTGATAGGAATATTTCTTATAGTATTTAAATGGTTTAAACTTTTCAGGACTGCATTTTTACTGGTTGAAATATATTATTTTTCAAATACAGTTGTGTTTTGAAGTTAACTTTCACGTACTGTATCAAAAAATAGTGGTAAGATTTTACAACCCTAAATGCCCAGAGTTGCAATTTTGCAATGTTTTTCCAAGTTAGAGCTCAATGCAAATTTTGCCTATATAAAATGCTTGTTATAACTAATTCCTTCGAAAAGAGATATATAATGGTGCAAATAAATAATATGTCATGAATATCAATGCCTATGTCTCTCAGGGTTAAAAACCCACTTTAAATCTGACATAGTAATAAACCCTTTTTTTGTGTGTATGCTTATTAGCATATTCAGACGAAAGCGCCGGGCAAGAAGGTCACTGGCAAGTCTTCTTAGTGATGTAAGCCAGTCATGCCAATCCTGGCTGGAAGGAAGTGTATTTAGAAGATCTGACCCCATTGCTCCCCTCCAGTCATCAACATTGGAGGAGCTGGACAACAGCTATGAGACAAACACACCCATCAGCTTCACCTATGGTTAGAAGGCTTCTAGTTTCGAACTAGAACAGCTAGCTTAAAATATTTGCCTGTTCAGTTTTTGTGAAGATGTTTGTTTCTTTATAGTTCCCACAGATCCAGTTTCCTCCCCTGATAAAGTGCCTCCTCAGACTCAGGTAGAAGAGGAGGAGCCTCCATGTGAGTCATGCTCCTCCCATGAACAATTCAGCCAATCAGTAAGCGGCCTCCTGGATGTTCCTCCCCCATCCATGTGTCACCTCAGTATCTATAGCTCATCCAGCAAGACATCAGGTGAGAAAGGCGAATGAAAGAGCTCCTTGCCTACTATGAGTTTTTGATGAATATGGAAAAATAGAAACAGCTGGATACTATTTTAATTATGTTTGTTTCAGAAACTGTGCTCATGAAAGTCCTTCTCCTCATCCTAACTTTGTGCCTCTGCATTGCCATCTCCTCCGGGTAATACAAAAGTGTGTGTGTGCATGTGTGAGAGAAAGGCTGTATCTGAAATTGCATACTTCCCTACAATATAGTAGTCAAAAAAACTATGGAAGCCCTTTTCTGCCACGCAATAAAAGAATAAAAAAAGTTAACTTTTTATCATAATTCTGCTTTTTTTTCCTCACAAAGTAATTACTTATTCAAAAGAAGTACATACTTAGAGAGTATGATTTCTGACACAGCCAGTGAGATTTCTGTCTGTTTGGCTCATTTGTTTTGAAAATGGGCAGAGCTTTTCTTCTCATAATTAATGGCATCATAATCCTCACAGGTGGCTGCTGGGAGGTGTTTCTGCAGCAGTGGCGTTCATGGTTCTGCTTTCATCTATATGTGAGTAAACAAATTAAGTAAAATAGTCACTATTATACTTACATAATCTGACATATTCTTGAATGTAAAAAAAGCATGTAGTTTGGGACTTTTTGTAAATTCTATTCATCCACATTTGATTGTTAAAAGTGAGTTACACACCAGAATGAACCAGGTGTTAGGGGAAAGAGACTGAAAAGTTATTATATTTTAAAAGTTACAAAGATTTATTTATTGTGTTCAATAAATTGCTCCAATGACTTGTGCACAATAAAATATCTAATATATAAAATATTATATAATAAAAATCTGATTGGCTGATAGGAGTGCAATATTAGAGTCCAACAGAGCTCCTCGACCTCTTCACCGTTAGTATCACTCCGCTTGCCGAAGTTGCCGCATTTCTCACAGCGAGTGTCATGGCGGACGCCCAAATCCACGATAGTTTTAAAAAATAATATTGTTTTGTGTCACGAAATGCAGTTTTAATAGTTTTTTATGCGAGAATGTGCTTGCTTGGACGTCAAATATGCGGTTTGTTAATAAAGATAACGTCTGTTTGAAAATTTGCTTTGGCGTTTTGGCTGCTTTTTAGCAGCATCATATGACCCCTTTAAAGATTCCTAAATGCATCTACTTCTGGAAGGCCAAATAAAGTGCTTTTGCTTTCGCCTAGAAACACACAGCGTTTCCCTGACATGGCTGCTTCAACACTAACTGCAGTTACTGAAACTACGCCTTCTTTCTTTGCGTGAACATTTGGGCGGCATTATGCTAGTATTTCCACATAGTGAGGTAGATATGTGGGGGCGTGTTAGAATGAGCCGTTTTAGGGGTGTGTGGCAGAGTCTTAACTTTGATAAAGAATATCTCTTTGGTTTTGAGACTTTAGTCTTTGCAACTTCAGGGATCTTATCTATGCACAATCAGCTTGTAACACTCCAAAGAGAAAGGAAAACTTGAAATCGCATCATATGACCCCTTTAAACAACATTATGGGAAAACACTCCCATAAACCAATTAGATTTAGGGTGGGCGGTCAACAGTTATTTTATGAATCTAACTTCTCTACTATTTATGAGTCAAATATTGTAAAATCATTCTCTCTGTCTCTCTCTCTCAGGTATGTCTAAACCTGGAACTGCAGTGCGCTGGAGGAGAGCAAAGACTGAGGTGAGAATCTGAGTACAGATTAATAATAGACTCCTGACCTTATGAAGTTTCTGTACGCAGAGACAAAAATGGGACTCTAAATAAAACATTTAACATCCAGATCGTGTCTCTTCATCAGGACATCACCTCCAGAAACGAGTGAGGAGGAACCACACGCACATAAACACATCTGGGTGAAGTCTGTCCTGAGGAGGCGGAGGAAGTGAGTGTGTGGACACACATCCTGCATCCGCTTTAAAATTAGTTATAGATCAGTTTTTGTAGTGGTGTTTTCACTGATCAGCTAAAGAGTTCTGAATATAATAATTACTGAAGAGTCACAGAACCAGTGATGGCAGATGACTGTCACGGGAAATTTTACATGCTAAGATTAGCATACATTTTTAAATAGATGGACATATCAATGAAAAATGATCATTCTGTAAATGTTTAAGAATTTGATCAGTTTTCCTAAATGAAAGACTGGATTGCATTATGAGGGATTCTTTGAGTCAGGGAGATGCCCTGCATGACAGAGCATATAAGTGAAATGTGTCCGTGGTGTTTGTAAATGCATCAGCTTGGCTTGGTTAGGCTCTTCAACATGGTGACAAGGGCGTTATGTGTTATTGTCCAGCTTGTCTAGTCAGATTATCAGATTCTAAAAAATATTTACTGCAAAACCTAGTTTAATATAATATTATAATGACTTTGCAAGAAATCTTTAACTTTTGAGAAGTTGTAGCAAAAGAAGTGCTAGTTTAGCCTTGCACAGATGCCTCATATTTGTCAAGTGCCTTTGTTATATGGAACAGGAGGAGTGTTAATGCCATTTTTCAGGGTTAAAGTCACATATCCATGCTGTGTGATTTAAGAGGGCTGAAATTTTAAGCACAAAGTGCTGCTATCAGGAGTGCAATAATTAGATTTACTATAAAAGCATTGCACTTAAAATAGGATTTAAAGCTCTTATTTCACAGGGACTTATAAAGACAATTAAACCCTGTTTGCAGGGAATTAGTGCTGCCAAAGGAGAACATGTTCTCGATTTACTGTATAATAAGTGTATAATTTTGTCACGTTCACACAAGGCAACTGCTCTCACAGAAAGTTAAACTGAGCAAACTGTGAGTAGGAAGCAATGTCTGTCACAACATGACCAAAATGTATTAAGTGCAGCTGAACTTGTATCCTCTGAAGGGAATGGCTAATTTCTGATATTTTTATTAGGATGATGAAAAGTTTTTTATTGCAAAGAGTCAAAGGTTTTAGGACACAGTGGAGTTTTTAAAAGGCAGCTCGGTTTTGAAGAGCAAAGACATTCATGAGGAAACAAAAGCAAAGCAAGGATCAAATGAAGTGTTTAAAGTAGGAGCATTTCAATTTTAGAGGTTTAAGCCTAAAAATTTGAAATCAGACATGTTTGAGACCAAGCCAAGGTGAATAAGTGAATTATTCAAATGCATTTATCTTAGCCAATAGATATCTAATGTGTTTATATGAAGTGTATTGTCTTCGGTGTTTATTGTAAATGTTTTTGAAGTGTCCATGAGCAATGAAACAAAAATGAATATTGCTCTATAAAAAGTCAATATTTACTGTAAAGTGTTCTGTAGAAAATGTATCATTATATGGGGCCAATCACAGAAAGTTGAAAGGTAAGGATGCTGAAAGGATTTAAGCTGTTTCTCAGCAAAACCGTGCTTGACAATATAATATTAAAGGGCTGACAATGCCAACTATTGGGCAAAAGTTAAAAGTAATTCTATTTATGGACATTAAAGTGCTTGTCATTTAAAGTGCTTGTCCTTAAATCCTTATCAGGAATACTATGTCCAATCAGATTTACAAAACATTTACATAATATTTTTGTTGCTGTGCCTGGTCCTGTAATTGCTGCTTGCAGCTATATTTATAAAAAATTTTGTTAGTACAACAATTAGTTAGATGAGGGATATAAGCAATTAGTCCATTGAAATGTTGAAAAAAATACAGAAAATAAAAAATGTGTTTTTATTTATTCATGGTTTTTAAATTACATAATTAATAAGTCACTGGGTACAGAGTTAAAAGGCAAGATGATTCCAATATGACTGTTTTAAACCATTGACATATTATGATTGGATGTAATTTTAATGCAAAAGCATGTTGTAAAATTAAGATGGAATTGCAGTTTGTACTAAACATGACTCATAATGTGTTCGCTGATCAGTAATCTGTTGAAGATTTCAGCGAGGCAAATTATTATTATTGAAAATATTAAATTATTTCCCTAGGGAGAGCTGCCTTTAAGCTTTGATGACTGCAGTGAACCTGTAACTGCATTTAACAATCTGTGTCACAAGAGAGCTAAAGAGTTACTGTAAATAGTAAAAACTTTAGTTATTATATATTATTCCACTGCACGTGAAAGTAAAATGTGAAATGTATGTGGTTCATGTATGCACTGTAAAATATAATCTTAATAGTAAATGCATTTATGTCATTTGCACAAACATAATTTGCCATGTTAGAAAGTATTAAAGGAGTAATAGGCCTTAAAACATATGTTTTATAAGGTTAATAGTTTTACAGTGTATTTTGAAAAAAAACCTGTATTGTCCATTTTCAATAATAAAGCTTTATATATAAATATAATAGGTTTTGTTTTTTGCTTTAATCAAACACATTCTCTTTTAACCAGATATTATTTAATATTGTTTTTCAAATTCATACTGTATTAGAATCAATGCAGTTGATTGTTGTTGCTCTTGCTAATGTAATTAACATGTAATGTAATTGGGCCTGCATTGATTTATGGACTGAACTTACACATTTTGACAAATTTGCTCCAGGTATTATTCAAATTGGTCTATTTGTTAACACAATGATTTTTAAAATAATCTCATTTAATGGTAGCAGGAAGAGGAATTAGGGCTTCAGATTATTTTTTAATCTGTTCTAACGTTTAATATATTTCATTATTTTCTTCTGGGCTTTGTGTGTTTAATATGGATTTTGTGCCTCTGGACCTGTCGCTGTGAGATACCTGTATTCACCATCTGAGACACATGTTTCATGACACTATAGGACATGATAATGGTATTAATACCAAGTAGTAGTTTGTGAGTTTTGTTAGTCACAAACTCATAAAACAAGCTGTTTTATTGAAGTATTTATCTTATTTAATCATTCAGTGAATAAACCAAGTGAACAGTGAATCCTAATTTCCATCACTTCAGTAATTTATTGTAGATCTGCAGCGTGAAGATCTCTGCATCTGCTCGTGACCTTTAGGAATAAGAAATTATGCAAAGTATTAAAAAAAAGTCATTTTCAGTATAAATAGTTTAGAAGCACAGTGTTTGCACTTACCACCTGTGTTTTAAGCAGCCACATGAAGTTTACAATAACCTAAAATATATGATATGATAAATAAGTTTTATATAAACTATGGAATTGCATTCACATATCATGTCTTTGTTTTACTTAAGTTACATAATCAATAATCAAATGCATCAGACACAAACCATTTTTCAGAGGTATCTTTAAGAATTCTTCCATATAAACACACTCCATTTTTGACTTAAATTCCTGTATCACTTCATCTGGTGTGCTTTCATTACGAGCTGCAATGGAAGACAGACAGACACATTCATTATGAATAAAAGTCTGTGTAACTGAATCACTTTGCAATGGTGACTTTACGTGCAGCACATATACAGTATTAGAGATGATCCTTTAAGGTTTCAGGGGAGTGTAGCGTCTCGACCAATCTGACACACAAATTTTTATTTGATTTACCCTTAACCAGGAAATTAACGTTCTTAGAATTGACAAGACAGTTGACCCTGAGAGGTCAGCTAAATATCTACAGCGGATCTAAAATATTCATAATTAATTATAACTAGTTATGGTTAATTATTCATATTTCCCATGAGCTGATTCGCTACAGGAGGGTTCACACTGAATTGAATGTTTTCATCGCTGTCCAGTTTAACATGTTGCACTAATCATGTAGGTGAAAGAATACGATGATTAAACATGATACTGACCAAACAGCATAGCACTGGGTTCCTCGTCATCATCCACAAACAGCATTATGATGCATGAAGGGCAGTTTATGAACTTGCCATCCCAGATCAGTGCAATAGAGTTGAAATCTGTTCACACAGTGATACATTTTAAAAAGGAAATAAAGTCATAAGAAATCATTTATCTTTTAAAATAATAACTAAAAATAATAATGATTACATTTATTAATGGGTCTCGTGGAAGAATATTGCTTGATCTTAACCCATTATATAGTGTAAAACATGGATAGACAGTGTTGAATTACTGTGTTTCAGACTGTACATCAGTTCCTACCGGTTGTGAACAGAAACGGGTCCGTCACAGACAAAGCTAAGTAGCTCCAAGTATTTTTCAGACACCGTTTTCTACTGTGATAAACAAAAAGATTTGATATGCTTGAAAACCTCACATATTGTAAATAATAGAACAGTCATATGTCAGCGTGTGAGTGTGTGTGTGTTTTTTTTAATGACTAAACATACTATGGTATTAACAAAGATTTCTGTTTTTACTATCTATATTTATATAGAACTTTCAGTTTTTACTGTCATTAAGACCCCACAAAAACAAGGATGTGTGTGTGTGTGCTTGTGTGTGTGCACTTGTGCGTGTGCGCGTAGTTTTCCACTCACATGCGAAAGGCTTCAGTCACTGTCAGGGTCTCGTTAGGACCTTTCTGAATGTGAATAATAGAGCTGTCGGTGAACTTGAGGGACTTAAGATCACCTTTTTCCCATGCAGCTGCTGCCACAAAATACCAAGAGCCCATATACTGCACAAGAAGAATATATACTGTATATGTATGTGTATATACAAACCCAATTCCAAAAAAGTTGGGTCACTGTACAAATTGTGAGTAAAAAAGGAATGGAATAATTTACAAATCTCATAAACTTATATTTTATTCACAATAGAATATAGATAACATATTAAATGTTGAAAGTGAGACATTTTGAAATGTCATGCCAAATATTGGCTCATTTTGGATTTCATGAGAGCTACACATTCCACACAGTTTGAAGTTATCATCATCTACAGTGCATAATATCATCCAAAGATTCAGAGAATCTGGAAAAATCTCTGTGCGTAAGGGTCAAGGCCGGAAAACCATACTGGATGCCTGTGATCTTCGGGCCCTTAGACGGCACTGCATCACATACAGGAATGCTACTGTAATGGAAATCACAACATGGGCTCAGGAATACTTCCAGAAAACATTGTCGGTGAACACAATCCACCATGCCATTCGCCGTTGCCGGCTAAAGCTCTATAGGTCAAAAAAGAAGCCATATCTAAACATGATCCAGAAGCGCAGGCGTTTTCTCTGGGCCAAGGCTCATTTAAAATGGACTGTGGCAAAGTGGAAAACTGTTCTGTGGTCAGACGAATCAAAATGTGAAGTTCTTTTTGGAAAACTAGGACGCCATGTCATCCGGACTAAAGAGGACAAGGACAACCCAAGTTGTTATCAGCACTCAGTTCAGAAGCCTGCATCTCTGATGGTATGGGGTTGCATGAGTGCGTGTGGCATGGGCAGCTTACACATCTGGAAAGGCACCATCAATGCTGAAAGGTAGATCCAAGTTCTAGAACAACATATGCTCCCATCCAGACATCGTCTCTTTCAGGGAAGACCTTGCATTTTCCAACATGACAATGCCAGACCACATACTGCATCAATTACAACATCATGGCTGCGTAGAAGAAGGATCCGGGTACTGAAATGGCCAGCCTGCAGTCCAGATCTTTCACCCATAGAAAACATTTGGCGCATCATAAAGAGGAAGATGCGACAAAGAAGACCTAAGACAGTTGAGCAACTGGAAGCCTGTATTAGACAAGAATGGGACAACATTCCTATTCCTAAACTTGAGCAACTTGTCTCCTCAGTCCCCAGACGTTTGCAGACTGTTATAAAAAGAAGAGGGGATGCCACACAGTGGTAAACATGGCCTTGTCCCAACTTTTTTGAGATGTGTTGATGCCATGAAATTTTAAATCAACTTATTTTTCCCTTAAAATGATAAATTTTCTCAGTTTAAACATTTGATATGTCATCTATGTTGTATTCTGAATAAAATATTGAAATTTGAAACTTCCACATCATTGCATTCTGTTTTTATTCACAATTTGTACAGTGTCCCAACTTTTTTGGAATCGGGTTTGTGTATATATATATATATAACATATAATGGATGAAAATATTTCTTATAACTAACTAATCAGCCACTTAACTAATATGAGTTCATGAGTGAAATTCAGCACAAAGATCTATATTTTACAAACAATGGACTCATCCACAAAACAAAGACTAGTTGACATTAGTGTGCTGCAGTGTTCCTGTCTCTTGCAACATTAAGGTCATGGGCTCAATACCAAGTAAACACACAATTAATAGACATATTATGAGAAAATAGTCACTAAAAAATTTTATAGCTGGAGAGACCTCAGATTTGTACATCAGTTAATTTACAGAAGATCTGGAAACCTGTCCTGTGAGAAAAACAACATTTATCATATTGTGTGTGTGTGTGTGTACATAAAAAATAAGATCTAAAAGCCTTTTCAAGCCTCTTACCTCATCAGTATTAATAACAGCAGTGGAGAGAGGAGCTGGAGGAAGACATGGCACCATGACCTGTATCCCAGCGTAAAACAGGCCCATTAGTGGGCTCACAACACCCCATAATGTGCTCATAAGCATGGCTGCATCAATGAGATCGCCTGTGATGTACAATGAATGCTGATGTCTTCTATGTGACAGATGCTTTGTCAGAGATGTTTTAATACAGTGCTCAGGGGGACTTTCATCCTGATTTGTTAGCTTTTTTCTGTTTGCTAGATAATCTGATAATGGTTAATGGAGTGTTTGTCAGGGCAATGCACCCCAATACGCCTGACCTTGTCCTGGACCAATCTCTCTACCCATGCATGCTGCAAAAAAATATGCAAAGCCGTTCAAATGGAGGACAATGTGACAATGTAGTTTAGACTTTACAATGTCTCACAAATAATTCATGATGGTACAAAAAAACACAGAGCTCAACAGTTAAGAAATATCACATAATATATAATTTACTGTTTCTCCAGACAGACAGTTTTCTTCTTTTTAAAAGAAAGGACATGGAGACTTCTGCTTAAGTCCTACTATTATTCCATTCAGTGT